GTAAGAAACTAAGAAATATACAGATTTTTAATTTTTACTACAGTAAATTGTTAGTTATTAGTTTATTACTGTTATTTTAATACTTATTACTTATCATGTCTATTGAATAATAAAAACTTTTCGAYGCGTTATACATTTATTTAAACATTTTAATTTTTAATGAAATACTTTTTCACGCTATATAATTATTCAAATCTTTGAAAAATATAAAAATTAATTAGCAGTTAAATATAATTGATTACAACTCTTAGTATCTCATATATCCTTATGTATAGGTACGTGTACCTATAATTATAAACATTAAATAAGTAAATATGTACACATAATAATAAAATAATTAGTAACCACTAATATAATATAATAACAATAAAAACTTTTTATCAATTAAAAATACATAGATAGGTACTAATAATTAAAAAATTAAAAACGGAATTTAAAAAATATTTAAATTACTGTTTAAAAAAATTATAAAATCTAAATTTTTTGGTGATAATCTGTTTCTACGTTCATTAGTAATTTGTCCCGTTTTCGAAAAAACACGCTCTGATGGAACGGATGTAGCCGGAATACTTAAATACTTCCGTTGCATTTCATATAATTCTGGAAACGTAAYTTCATATTGCTTCCAAAATTCTAAAGGATTTTTTTTCCTATCTAAAGGTGGAATTTCTAAATACTGGCGTATCATTTTAGAAGCAGTAGCATTTGGATTTGACGTAATTTTGACTTGTGAAACTTTATCGTCAAAATGTTTCCATACAGAATAAATATTAGCACTCGATGTAGATTGTGTAGTATCTGATTCTGTTATTTCGGTGTTGTCATTTTTAGCACCTATCATATTAGTTAATTCTTCGCAGATCCATTTATGCGCATTATCAGCATTTTCCTGTAATCCAAAGGCTGTTTTTTTTAGTCGTGGATCTAAAAAAGTCGATTTCGCAACTATCTTGTCTTTTTCCAAATTACCCAAACGTCTACCAACTACATCAATTAATTTATTTTTAAATTCATTTCCTATAGTAGTTTCTGTTCTTAAGTTTTTTAACATGTATTGAAGACCTCGAATTAACGGTATAACTAATGATAGTGTTGGATAATTTTCTCCTGACAATTCTGATGTAATATTTTCAAACGRTTTTAAAATTTTAATGCAATCAGATATTACTTCCCATTCTGATGCGTTTAAACAATTCGGAGCACGAGGAAGAGATGACATTGAAGCTGTAAGAGGAATTTTAATTGTTAAAAGTCTTTCGATCATTGTCAAACTTGAGTTCCACCTTGTAGAGACATCTTGCTTTACCTTTAATAAAGGTAGGTTCATTTGTGATTGTAAATCCCT